TATAGCCTTCGATGGGACCATGTACATTTATACCATCCAAATCACTACTTTTCAAAGACCCCACTTTTCTCAGAAGAACCACCTTACAGAACTTCTGTCCTTTTGTTCTACTCAGAATCTAATAAAATATAGATCTATTGCCTAGTGTTAATTCCAGGGCCCCTCTATCTTATTACATTGGAATGATTTCTAGAGTTGCCAGATTTAACAAATAAAAACAGAATGACTGATTAAATTTTAATTTCAGATAAGCAACAAATCATACTTTTAGTGTAAGTATGTCCCATGCACTGTCAAACCTTTTCCATCACCTCTGTAGGAAAAGAAAGCACAGGAAGTAAACTTGCAGAGTCCCTGGGAATGTCTTTTTTTTTTCTCTCTCTCTTTTTCTTGTCCTTTCTCTCTTTATATGTGATTGGTGATGTCACTGTAGAATTATAGCTTGAAGCGATTGCTGAAATAGCTCAGCTGGGAGAGCATTAGACTGAAGAATTGTAGCTTGAGAGACTATTCCCTCTAGAAATCTGAAGACACTGCCCCACTGGTTTTTGTTTCCAATATGTGGGATGATAGTCAGATTCACATACTTTGCAGTGACATTTTTTTATCTCGAGAAAACTGTTTAAAATCATTTCTTTGTTCTTGGTGTCCTGAAATCTCCAAATTTTATGTAAGTCTTTTTTTTTTTAATTCCTTGTTTCAGTCCTCAATGACTGAACAACTCTGAGTCTTATCAGCTGTGGAAATTTTTCTTATATAAGCTCTTTGCTGTTTTTCATCCCTTACATTTTGTTGGTTTCCTTTTTGGAACTCTTATTCATAGCTTAGACCTCCTGGGTCGGTCTTAATACCTCTTGTTTTCTCTTGTATTTTCCATCTCTGACTTTTTGTTCTATATTCTAGATTTTTATCTATTTTCTTTCAGCTTTTTTAGATTTTTTTATTGTAGCAATCACATTTTTAATTTCTATGAGCCCTTTCTTGTCTTCTGTTTATTTATAGTAACATCACATTTTTAAAAAAGATTTATTTTTATTTATTTGAAAGGCAAAATGAGGGGCCGGTGCTGTGGCATAGCAAGTAAAGCTGCTGCCTGAAGTGCTGGCATCCCATATGGACGCTGGTTCGAGTCCTGGCTGCTCTACTTCTGATCCAGCTCTCTGCTATTGCCTGGGAAAGCAGTAGAAGATGGCCCAAGTCCTTGGGCCCCTGCCCCCATGTGGGAGACCCAGAGGAAGCTCCTGGCTACTGGCTCCTGGATCCTGGCTCCTGGCTTCAGATTGGTGTAGCTCCGGCTGTTGCCACCAATTGGGAAGTGAACCAGTGGATGGAAGACCTCGCTCTCACTCTCTCTTTCTCCCTCTCTCTCCCTCTCCTTCTCTCTGTGTAACTCTGACTTTCAAATAAATAAATAAATAAATCTTTAAAAAAAAGAAAGGCAAAGTGAAAGAGAGACAGAGAGATCTTCCATCCACTGGTTCACTCCCCAAATGCCTACACAGCTAGGGCTGGTTCAAAGAGCATGGAACTCCATCTGGATCTCCTGCATGTATGGCAGGGGCCCAAGGACTTTGTCCATCTTCCACTGCTTTCCCAGGTGCATTAGCAAGGAGATGGAATGGAAGCAGAGCAGCAGGAACCCAACCTGGCACTCTGATATGGGATGCCAGTGTTACAGGTAGTAGTTTAACCTACTATACCACAATGCCAGCACTGACAACACACTTTTGCTTGTTGGTTAATATGCTTCAATTACTCTGAGTATATGGGAAGTTTTTAAAAGGTCCCTCCTATACCCTGAATTATTTTAATTTCTTCCAACATCAGTTTCTGTTTGCCTACCTTAGTCTTTCTCTTTTGTATTCTGATTCCTCTTTTACATCTGATGCTACCAGAACATCCAGTTGCTCCCAAAGAAAGGAGGACTGAGTTTGTGTGGAGTTGCTTTACTGCTGTGTATGGGACAGTTTTCTTGGGAGGCCTCTGTGCTGTGTGGGGTGATTTCAGACACTGGCTTTCACTGTATGGACTGTAGGCTGGGGTACCAAATCCCACAAAAGCTTTTGCTCTACCCAGAATGTTTACACAACAAAAGAGATCTCTTGGCCAGCACCACAGTTCACTTGGCTAATCCTCCACCTGCAATGCCAGCACCCTGGGTTCTAGTCCCAGTTGGGGCGCCAGATTCTGTCCCGGTTGTTCCTCTTCCAGTCCAGCTCTCTGCTGTGGCCTGGGAGGGCAGTGGAGGACGGCCCAAGTGCTTGGGCCCTGCACCCATATGGGAGACCAGAAGGAAGCACCTGACTCCTGGCTTTGGATCAGCGCAGCGTGCCAGCCGTAGCAGCCATTTGGGGGGTGAACCAATGGAAAAGGAAGACCTTTCTCTCTCTCTCTCTGTCTAACTCTGCCTGCCAAAAAAAAAGAGATCTCTGGTTTTCTCTTTTTCCTGGATGCTGGAATTCTAAATATTGAAGTACAAAGGTGCTGATGTGAATTGGACATATACCTAGAAATCTTTAATTAATCCCCCTCCTTTGGGCCACATTTCTCACTCTCAACTCTGAGCCCAGTGTGTTTCATAATTTCTAACAGGCAAATCCTGTCCTGCCCTCTCTATTGCCTTGAGTGGTGCATTCATCATTCAACACATGTCCATATTCATTCCCTCTTCCAAAAATTGAACTTTTTTGTTCAATTATGAGAAAAATCCCATCATCCACATTTTTAGCTTTGGTGGTAAGGTTTATTCTGGGTTTTTGTGTTTATTTTATTTCATTGACTCTTAGGATAGAAGAGACGGACTTTCTTGCTCAGTATACCATCTGGAGCTGGTAGTTTGCTGCTGTTTCTTCTTGGAAATATAATTCAAGTTAAATAGTGAATTGCTTCTTCAATCACTCACACAGAACTGCTCAGGTGCAGTCACCTCTACCTAAGGAATCAGACCCACTGAAATGCAGGGGTGTCTGAGAGAGACCATGGTAGGGTTACTATAGATTTCTAATGAAAAACTAAGGAAGATGCTCACTAAGACTGCAAAAACTTACTTTGGAATTTGTCTCATTCATTCCCCATTTGATAAGTGGCTAGACTGGGCCAAGGACTAGGCTGAAGTTTGGCAAGATTGGGCTATAAAGATGAATAGGGTATAAACCTTACCCTGAGGATAGCATAATCTGGTGACTAACTTGAGTATATGCAGCATTTTACAGTTTATAAATCAGTGTTACAAACTGTGAACTCGTGACACTTACTGATGTGCCACTCACACTTTTCACTACTCCTGAGGGATCCCAATGACCTATGACATATAATAAGTTATTCATTTGCTTAGGTCCAAATTTAAATCCCATGTGTGGTAAGACTGTGTGTACAATGTAGTTGCTTGGGTAGTGAAAGAGCCAAATCATCATTTAAGGATCTCAAAGTAGCCTTGTGGATAGTGTATATGAATTTATAACCAAGTTTCTGAGCCATTTGAACTCTACAAGATACAAACATGAAATGAGTGTATTTTTCAGCTATCATTGCTTTTAATGACGCTTTGCTCAGAAGCAGCCAGAACTCTTGCTCCTACAGGATTTTGAGATTGAGGAATGCATATTTAATCTCCCCTTTATGCCTTCGTTCTAGTTCCTCTTTCCAGGTTGAGTTACTAATTTTTTGGTTGTTTTGTTTAAGTTGGTGTTCTGAAGCTTAATCTCAGTATCCTTTACTCTCAATTGTCAAATTTTGATAAAACATATGCCATTTTCTTTGGTAAGAGAAAGCAGGTCTTAATGTCTGCCAGAACACAATTTATATGCCTTATTGGCCCCATTAAACTTTATAAAAAATTTTTTTAAAAAATGGTCTTTCAAATCTCCCTTCTTCTTACTTTGGCATCCAAGGTAGATTACACAGCTCTCTGGACATTTTCTGATAAATTCAGTGTAGTCCATTTTAAAATTCAGTCTCATTTTCCCCATCTTCCAGCTTAGCATCAACTCTGCAAAGGAATTTGGAGTAGGAGAGAGTCTGTAGTTTTCCTTCTATTCTATTTCTGGTGGGATATTTAGTCTTCTTGGATATTTAGGGTTGTATTTCCCAAGATGTGGTTCGTAGACCACCTGTATCTGAATGTACTGGGGAGCCTATGGAGAAAGATGCTAATTCCTGGACCCCAAATCCAGTGATTTGGGCTCTTAACGGTTGAAAAATATCAGAAATCAAAAATTTCCACAAACACCAAACATTTCCACAAAAGCTTACACACACTAAAGTTGAACAATCATTTGTCTTGAATCCACTACACATTATCTTAGATCCTCTGAACATCACTGGTAGAGCAGGTATTATCTTCATTTTACTGATACAGAAATTGAATCTCAAAAGAACCAGAGCTTGTCAAACAGTGGAATATATTTCACTTAAAGCTAGTGATAATGAATATTGATCTTTCCCATTAATCTACCACCGACTAATTTCCACAGAAAGAAAATATCACTCAATATATTTATATTTTTTCAGATTATCAAAGTAATACATATTGACTTTAAGAAATCTATAAAAGCAGAAAAATAACTAAACAATTATTTAAATAAAATTTGTTTCTGCTTACATATTTTGCCTATTTTACAAAATTTAAATCAAGTTATACTTTAATATTCTTTAAGAACTTGCTTCCTAAAATTAATGTATTGTGAATTTTTCCTTACATTAAACATGTTCTCCATCATTATTTTCAATGGCAACATCATCTTTCATTTTATGGATGTATGATTCTGTATTTAACCAATTCCCTGCTAGTGAGCAATTTGATTATTTCAACTTTTTACTGTAATGAAAAGATGCTTTCAGTTTTAGGCATCTTACAGGGAATTTGGGAAATACATTACAGCTGTCTAGAGAAAATGAAACCAATTTTTAAAGGTTATATATGAAAAGTGTTTGAGGTATGAAATGTATGCAACATTTCAATGGTCACTAAAAGGATTCTTTCTTGTTTTCTCTCTTAAAAGGAACAAGACCATTTTGTTTTACTTTAACCTGTTCAGCTGTACCAGTCCCTCTGTGATGATAAACCTACAGTGCCCTACCACACAGGTAAGGCAAGAGATACCCCCTGATAATGGAGGTAACTTTGAGCGAGCTTGGATGACGCAATTCAGAAATTCCACTTGCATTCTCTAGGTGTGTGGTTAATTATGAATTTGTAGAAGATTCCAAGACGGAAGTAGTAACTCATGCTTATTCATATATAATTAAAATTGAGCAGGGATTAATCATTTTAGTCCTTGGTGATTATTTTGTCCAATCACTTATTATGAATAAATAACTGCAGCTTAGAGAAGTGGAGGTATTTTCCCAGTAGTGTATTAGAGTAAAGCTATCTACTATAACTAATAAACCATAGCTTTTAAAGACTTACCACAATAATGTTTGGTTTTTGACCATGTAAAAGTACAAGATGTGTTTGCGGTCAGTTTGACTCTCTGTCAAACTCTGCTGTCCAGGATGTCCTCCTTCTGATCTACACCCAGATGCCTGTAGGCCACAGTGAAGACCAACAAAGCACACCTCTGTTAAGAGCCTTGGATCAGAAGTGTCACACATTGCTTTTCTTCTTTATGCTATAGGCATAAACTAGTGTTCTATGGTCAAACCTAGATGCAAGGAGGAAGGATAAAAGCAGTGTGGTTATGAGCTGAACAGCCTATTCAACACCACAAAATAAATGGCTCAAGAAACACAAACCTCAGTAGACAGTCAGTTGTATCTTTAGTCTATCCTTAGTCTGGACTGTAATACCCTTAATCTTTCCAAAGGAAAACCCTGAGGTCCAAGTATTGCTGTCTTTAATGAAGTTCAGGATGCCTAAGTGCTTCATAGTTCTCTCCATCAAGTTTTGATTCTAAACACACAACGAGGAACAGGGATAGGGAAGTTAGATTGCAAGTTCCCATTCAGAATGAGAAAAGTGGCAAATACATATTATTATGGTCATGGCAATGGAGAATGTCCTTCATTCAACCTGGATTGTGTTCTGCAAGAGGAACTCTCATATCCATTGCATCCTGTATCCTTTCACTCAGTCACCTGAGAGGTTATTTCCTGCCCATGAGTCTCCAGGCCACACTAGTGCTGATGGAGGCCCTTCTTGAGGGCCATCCAGCTTTGAAACTCCACTTCCTATTGTGCAAGTTCAGGGCCTCAATGATTATGTAGCAGTCAAAGGCTTTTTTAGGTTACCTTAGCATTGACGACATTTCAAGTGCTTCAGAAACTTAGCAGGCTTCTGCCTAGCTTGCTTTTTGCTTCCCTGTGCCAAAAACCACAACCAATGATCTTCCTTAGAATTTGGTTGGAAATCTGCCTGTTGCTTTGCTTCCTCATCATTCCCCAAAGACTTTTGAAATCTTATTTTTGTTGAGCCTGAATCATACTTGGTGTGTTGATATTTTAGTTCTATGATTACCTCTGCCCCTCCCTCAAGATCATATCCTCTACCTTATCAGTACCGATAATTACCACTCTATATAATCTCATTTTCAAGCATTCCACTTCCTGTTCATCTCAATTCCTCTAGCATTCCATTGCCGTTGCTCTTTCTACCTCTCTGTACCTACAAACCACCATACTAATCTCCTAAGTGGCCCTCAGTCCCCCATGTTTTCATCTCCCTCTTTACCTGACTTCCCTAACACAGTCCCTCATTAAAATTACTCACTTATATAAACACTCAGTGCCTTTGCTCCCTCTCATTTATCCATGCCTGAACCCAGAGGCTATGTGTTCTTGGATAAAAATATACAGAAGTCTTTTAAATTCAGTACCCAGCTCCAAGTGAGTCCCTAGTGCTGTCCTACCATCACCATGCTGCAGACCTTTTGTCCATTCTCTAGTCTGCTTCCCTGGAAAAGAAAGTTCACACCATTTTCTCTCTCTTTGCCCTCTGAGATCTCCTTCCCAATCTCTAGCCAGCCTCTAAATTTACTTTTTACCACACTGAGAAAGTAAAACGTTCAGAAAGCTTCCACTCTGACATCTACTTGCCTTTCTATCTTCATCTATGTTAATGTATTCACTCTACCTCCTCTTCTCTTACCGTGGGTAAACTGCTATTCTGCTGACACTAAGGAATCCATTTGTGCATTAGACCTCATACTCTCTACATGCTCAGTCACTCCATAAATTTACTGTTTTTCCTCTTATTATCATTTTTCCTCCTCTGCTAAGTCATCTCCAATAATATACAAATAAGTTGTTATTTTTTATCATAAATTTTCTCTACTTGAGTTCACATTCCCCTCCAGCCTTTGCTCCATATATCTGTGCCTCTTCTCAACCAGATAGTCCTCTAAAGAATAGCCTATATTCACATGTTTAAATCTTTTCCTCATGGGGCAGGCAGGCATTTGGCCTATCAGCTGAGATGCCTGTATTTAATATCAAAGTCTAGCTCTGCTCCCAACTCTAACTTCCTGCTACTATAGACCCTGGGAGGCAATAGGGATGGCTCAAGTAATTGCGTCCCTGCCACCCATATGGGAGAAGTAGCTTGCATTTTCGGATCTGAGGGGCTATTGTGGGCATTTTGGGAATGGACTAAAGGATGGAAGTGCACTCAAACCCCCCCTCCAAAAATAATTTTTGTTTTTTTGGTTTTTTTCCTTAGCATTATTTGTTGAACTCTTTATGTTAATCATATGTTTATAAAGTCAGCTGAAAATAGATCTCAGTAAAAAATAAGAGTGGGAATAAGAGAGGGAGGAGGAAATTTGAAACTGTAAGGCTGTATAGTTCTGCCTACATTCTTAAAGATTTACTTCTGTCATGGGACTCCAAATCTCATTAAGCTTGGTGGTAAAAATGTCATCTTAGTTGTTAAAGTGATCAGATTAAGTGTTAAAATGAGCATATAGGTAGGACTAAATGTGAAAGTGATCATATAAATAGGATCAAGTGTCTGGTAATAATAATAGATAGAATTAAAAAGGAGAGAATGTTCCAAAATGGGAAGCAGTCTGCACAGCAGACTCATAGAATGACAATTGCTTTAAGTAACACTCTGACCTCAGAATCAGCCCTTAAGGCTTCCTGGTCTGGCTGAAAAGCTCATGAGAGCATGTTAGGCATGGAAAGCCAAGACCCTACAGCAAAAAATGTCCTACATGACTACCTCAGCGGGTGCAACCCCAGTGGAAAGAAGTGGCCATCAAAGAAGGATGTGTTTTTCTCTAATGGGAGGAGAGAACTTCTACTTTGTTTATGGCCTTGTCTAAATAATGACGGAGTTTGTGGACTCAAAAGGCTTCCATAGCCTAGGCAGCTCACCTCAAGAGCCTCAGGTGGTCACTGATGTCGTACAGAAGAGTGTTAATTGTTAAATTAACAACAGGAGTCACTGTGCACTAACTCCCCATGCAGGACCTCTGTCCTCAGTGAGTTGTATTATGAGAGTTAAACGTAAAACTAGTTCTCAGTTTTGTGTGTGTGTGTGTGTGTGCAAATTGTTGAAATCTTTACTTAGTATAGAGTTCGTCTTCTGTGCATGAAGTTAATTGAAATGAATCTTAATGGAGAATGGGACTGGTAAGGGGAGAGGGAGGAGGAGGAGGGGTGAAAGTGTGGGTGGGATAGTGGATATGGTGGAAAGAAAAACTGTATTCGTAAAGTTGTACTTGTGAAATTTGTATTCTTCAAAAAATAAATTAAAAAATAAAATAAACATAATTTACTGCTAATATTCTAAAAGTGAATAAATAAACAGTTTCCTGTATTTCCCATTGAGGCTTTTATCCATACTCCAATTTCACTCAACTGATAACATTTCCCCCAAATGATAACATTGACCTCATTATTAAACCAATGAGCAATTTTTAATCCATGTTTATTTAATCTAACAGCAATGTTTAATCCCTCCTCCTTAAAATGCTTTCTTCACTGGACTTCCAAGGCATAGTATTCTTCTATATCTCCTAGCTCTCTGGCTACTACCTATTGTATCAGTCTCCTTTGCTGGGTTCTTTTGGTCTCTCCCATATCTCTAAACATTAGAGTTCCCTATCCCACCAAGTTTAGTCCTCTTCTAACTCTGCACCTACTTTTTTGATGGTCTTATCAAGTCTTATGGGTTTAACACTGTCTATATGCTGGCTTCTCCAATTTAAGTCTCCAAATAAGTCTTCTCTTTGAATTCCACACCTTCAAATCAAACCAACTATACAGTGTCTCTACATGGATATTTAGTTGTCATTTTGAATTTATTACATTTAAACTGGGTTTATAATATCTAAGTCCATCTCTAAAATTGTTTTCCACTACTAACAGTCTTCCCTACATCAACGCCAGCTCCAAATACCATGGAGTTACCCTTTTCTCCTCTCACACTCATGTTTGAGCTGTAGCTAATTCCTTGTCTCTCTTCAAAATATACTCTGAACCAACTACTTCTCACCACCTCTTGCATAATTCAGGGAACCAGTCATCTCTTTTCTAGATGAATTCAGTGACTTGGCTAGCCTTTCTGCCTCTACCCCTGCCCCTCTGACCTTTGGAATCTCTTTTTCATCCAGCAGCCAATGTGATCCTGTTAAATATAATTGAGATTATGTTTGTTCTTCACTCAAATGGCCTAATAGCTTCATGAATTGTCCATGTTGAAACCAAATTCAACCTGTAAGATCCTGTGCTGCCTGGCTGTATATCCTATTGCAATCCCTATGCTTACTGCACTTGGATAATCCTTGCCATCTCCCAAGGATCCAAAAAAGTTCCTGCCTCAGAGCTTCAGACTTTTCCCGTCTAAAGTACTCTTCCTCCAAATGATTGTATGGCTTGATCACTGGCCTTTTTCAAGTCTTACTGCAAATATTACCTTCCTAGTGAGATCTTTCTTGATTACCTATTTAAAATTGGAATCTCATGCAGCTACTTCTCACTTTCTAGCCTACTATCTAGCCTTATTTTTCCCCTGACATTTATTACCATCTTCTGAAAACATTTCACTTGCAGGTTGAATAACCCGTATCTGAAATACTTGGGACCAGAAGTATTTCAAATTGTGCAGTTTTTCAGATTTTGGAATATTTACATAGATCTTATCAGGTTCATATCTCTAATTCAAAAAACTGAAATCTGAAAAACTCCAAAATCGGAAACTTCCTGAGAGTACTGTTGGTGTTCAAAAAAGTTTCATATTCCAGAACATTTCTGATTTTGAATTTTCAAATTAAGGATGCTCATCCCGTATTTATTATGTGTTATCTGTCTCTACTAGCGAATGAACTGTTTGAGTGCAAATAGTTTTATATGTTTGGTTCACTACTACATCTCTGGTGCCTTGAACATCTAAGTTGGTGATCAATGTTTATTGAATGAATGAACAAGTGAATAAATAAGTGAATGAATATCCTCCTACTCCAAGTTCAGGAATTTTTCTAGTATATTCTATAAATCCATCATTTGCATGATACAACAAAAAAACTACTAGCATGGTATAACTTTTTGTTGTAAGTTTCACAAATGATTTACTACATTACACATAAATAACACAGTGCTTTAATCCTCTAACTCTTTCTTAGCAGCAAATCCTAATTTGCATTACAGTATTTAACCTATCTGAACTGAAGATATAAAAATAGTGATAAAGAACTACAATACAAGTGCACTTCGTTATGGCACAACTAATTAAGCCACCACTACAGGCAGCTCAAGTGCTTGTGTCCTTGGCACCCATGTGGGAGACCCAGATGAAGTATCCTGGCTCTTTGCTTGAGTTTGGCCCAGCCCTGGCTGTTGGGGGAACTGGAGATGTGAATCTATGGACAGAAAATCAATCTATCTTTCTCTTGCCTTTCAAATAGAGAAAAATAAATAAACTTTTTAAAGTGCCCTTTGTGGTATACAGAGAATCATAATTGATCCAGAATACATTTTAGCTGCCAATAATTCCAACGACTTTCATTTGGTCTGCCAGGCAATGCTGTATATGAAACAACTTATATTTTTATGCATTATATTTTTGTTAACTGCCAGCATAGTCCAGGTATGTGTCACAAGCATTTAAGGGACAGAATGTGATCAATTTGTATACCTAACTTCAATGTGACCTTCATTTTTGGCTAATTATATGATGATTGCTATTAATCAGCACCCTATATGAAGTAAACAAATTGGTCTGATCAAGGGAGAGAATAAAGAGAAGTTGCTATATTGTTTTTAATAGCTCATTTGTGTTTGTTATGAAATTTGATTTGCTTCTATTTAAGAAACTACACATTACTATTTCAATGACCTTTTTTTATGAGTGGCATACTTAGCACTTCTGATGTGTAGTATACATTATTTGTGTCTAGTGTTTAAATGTAGACATCATCATGGTTTCCATTCAGTAGACCCAGCCGTCTTCTAAAGCCATGAACCATAAGTGCTTCCAGTTCTCACTTTTATAAATGACAAGTGTATCCAGTAGAGGAATTAGTACACTTATCTTTTGACATCATAGGAATAAACTCTTAAATGTCTATGGGATATTTCCTAATATGCTAATGATTTATTCATCTTAGCTCCAATTACAGTGAATTTTGACATTGAATTTATATTAACCTTAAACATCTTCCCCAAACTATGGGCATATTTGATGCAATGACTGTCTCTAGTTCTTCAGCTATTTTATTTTATTTTATTTTATTTTATTTTTTATGTTTATCTATGTATCTTCTGTCTGTCCATCTATTCGAGAAGGAAAGTGAGAGCAAAGAGAAAGTATTCCCATCCTCTGGTTTACTCTCAAAATGCCCTCAGCAGCTGGGGATGGGCCAGGCTGAAGCTGAGAGTCCAGGACTCAGTCCAAGTCTATCACATGGGTAACAGAGACACAACTACTTGAGTCATCATTTTCAACCTCGCAGGATGCATATTGACAGCAAGCTGAAATCAGGATCAGAGCCAGAACTCAAACCCAGGCAATCTGATATGGGAGGCAGGAGTCCCAACTAATGTCTTAATCAAAGGTCAAACACTAGTCCCTCCTCAGCTTTTTCAGAAAAGGACCTATGACTTCCAGTGTTTACTTGGAGGTCTGTGAGTATATGCGTATATAATTGTGTTTGTATTTGCATGTATGTGGATGAGACTAAGAAAGCAGAAATACATATGGTGGTGGGAATGTGCAGTTGAGTTATTCACCTTATCAAAACTTCTAGAAAGAATTGTACTCCTGCTGCTAAAAGACAATACTCATATTAACTGTGAGATTTAAGGAATACAGTTAATTACTTTCCTACTCACTTAGCTGTGGTTTTAACACCAAATGCCCGTGTGTACAGCAGGGACATGACCTAAAAGATGGAGAGATGTCAGCTGAGTAGAAATGGAGGTTGAGCAAGAGGCAAGTGAGTGAGGATGATTTGCAAAGTATAGGAGCAAAGTGGAGTGGGTCAGGGCTGAGGAGGGTTTCTCAGAAAGTGCTGAGTGAACAGAGTGATGTGCAAGGATTGGCTGCAGCTCACCTGGCATGATATTACTTTTCATCATTTTTATTGTAAGCAAAAGTACAACCAATAGGGTATATGCTTCTTCCCTGATTTGCTTCCTTTTTATGTGGTTACTAATTAAATTTTGGTATTTGTGTGGTGGCTCTGTTGAGTAACATGTGATCTGGTTTGGCATTGATAGCCCCCCCCAAATTCATTAAAATAATTGCATAGGTGACCTCTCTGCCCATATCTACATGGTGTTGATAGAAGGCTATAATAGTGACTGACTGTAGCAAATAGCCTTAATTTTATTCACCTCTTAGGCTGATAAAACCCTAATTCTATTTTTGAGAATTTTGTGATACTTTTTAGTAGCACAAGTTATCAATAATCAGAATATTTTCGATCACCATTTCATTTACATATTGGAAAGAATGCAAGATTCTAACTCTGAACATACAAACACTACACAGAGAAAATTAATTTTAAATCAACTCTTATTTGCTCATTCAGAAAATCATATGGAAATGTTTTTTTGTTTTTGTTTTTTTGTTTTTGTTTTTGTTTTTGTTTTTGTTTTTGTTTTTTTTGACAGACAGAGTGGACAGTAAGAGAGAGAGACAGAGAGAAAGGTCTTCCTTTGCCGTTGGTTCACCCTCCAACGGCCACCGTGGCCAGCGCACTGCGGCCGGCGCACCACGCTGATCCGATGGCAGGAGCCAGGTACTTATCCTGGTCTCCCATGGGGTGCAGGACCCAAGTACTTGGGCATATGGAAATGTTTTATGAAAAGTCTGTCAGTGACCCACTGCAGTGGTCACATGAATCTACACATGAAACAATTGCATAGAAGAACATCCACACAAAGACACACATAAATGAGTGAATGTAAAATGGGTAGAATGTGAACAAGGATAGTGGATTATGATAATACAAATTTGCTTGTGGTAATACTGTGTCATAGCTATGCAAGGTGGGTACCATTGTGGGAAACTGAGTAGAAAGTATGTGGATTCTCTATTATTTCTCATAACTATAGGTGGATATATACTTATCTCAAAATCAAAAGTTTAAAATAAATCCATACTGTGCAATATCATGTTTTAACACAACATCAACACCAAAAAGCTGGGAGTAGAGACCAGTAACAAGTATATGAAATTCCAGTTTTATAATAAAGCTAGGAAATTTATTTATTTCATAGATGGCAAAAACTGTGTTGTGTTCTTCATTATGGTAGATAATTTAGAAGTCTATCTTTCTAGATTCTTCCTTGATTTGTTCTCAGTTCAATTCTTATCACTATCTTCCTTGTCTTCACAGATCTGTGTCTCCAAGTGCCCAGAAAAATTTTTGACCTATGTGGAAATGCAAATTTTGTACAAAAGAGACAAAAGCTACTGGGAATACTATAGTCAGTTCTGCAAGCCCACTGCTAAGCCTCTGAAGGTATTTGTTTTTAAGCATAAGCTAGAGAAGAATGCAACATTTGTCTCCATCTCAAGTGTAACTTGAGCATTTATTACTGGGTAAACTCCCAGATCACTTACTGATTGCATCATTCCATTAAAACGTAAGTGCAGGAACAAGCACTGAGGTGCAACAGATTAAGCTCCTGCTTGGGATGCCTGCTCCCACACCACAATGTTGATTCAAGTCTCAGCTACATCACTTCTAGTCCACCTTACTGCTAATGTGATGGGAGGCAGTAGATGATGGTCCACATACTTGGGTTCCTGCCATCTACATGAAACACCAGGATGGAGTTCTGGCTCCTGACTGGCCTGACCCAACCTTGGATGTAGCAGTCATTTGGGCAGAGAACAAGCAGATACAAGGTCTCTTTGTTTCTGTTTCTGTTCTCTTTCTTTCTTTCTTTGCCTTTCAAATATATAAATAATATTAGTAAAATACAAATGCACATTTATCTTCAAACACACACCATCATTTGTGCCTATCATTTGTGAACTTGGGTGTTATTCAAGACTGTGATGTCTTGTGAGGTTGATTAGTATTTGATTAATCAGGTGATAAAGCCTCATGGCAACTTGGCACCAGGTATAATTTTACTTCCAACTCCAGTTTGATAACCAGTCATTTTTAAAAAACCCAAATCCCTACCTATGTTTTAGATTTATGAGGGAATTATAAAGCCTCATTATATTGAATAGTGTTAATAGGCTTCTAAATTAGAGAAGATGTTGTTTTTCCAGAAGAAAGTGAAGGATTAGGGACTCAGCATGTAAGATGTGCTTTGGATTCAGAGTCCGGTTTTATTATTTTTTGATTGAATTACAGTTAGCACATTAAGAGCACTTGTCAAAGTGATAATATCACAATTACTATTACCAGAGTAAATAACTGAGATTTCAATATTACTATTTAATTAAATTTGTAAAGGACCAAATTTTTATATCCAGATGAAAGTAGTCATCACATAGCTTTTGAAATGTTAACATTTTCTTCCTTTTGTTTCAGACTCTCCCAGAGATCTTATTGGATAATGATTGTCCAACAGCAATTTTTCCAGGCAAACCTTGTAAGTGGGAATTATTTTTACCTTGGAACACAGAATCAACCATGAGTTTATTTAATAACTTTTCTTATTTCCTAGTTGATGAACTTGAGATCAAAAATGGTCCTATGACTGGCCCAAGGCCCCAGAGTTAATTAGAACAAAAGTCAGAGGTAAAGCCCATCCTCAGGTTCCAGCCAGGGATATTTCCTCAGGGGCTCTGCAACTTTTTGGGTTCTGGTACATAAGTTCCTAAGAAAAAGATTGAAAATTGATTTTAAAAGCCCAAACAAATGGATTATTTGTTGCTCTATGTGCAAACATAAACACAAACTGACACACCCATGCATACTCACTGCTAAAGTCAGTCAAAAAATGTGTTCATAAATTGCCTGTGGGCCACCGCTGTGGTATAGCCAGTAAAGCCACCACCTGTGACACTGGTCTCCCATATGAGCACCAATTCAAGTCTCGGCTATTCCATTTCTGATCCAGCTCCCTGTTAATAGTCTGGGAAAAGCAGTGAAAGATGGTTCAAGTGTTTGGGGCCCTGTCACCCATGTGGGAGACCCAGAAGAAGCCTCTGGCTCTTGGCTTCTGCCTGACCCAGCCCTGGCTGTTGAGGCCGTTTGGGGAGTGAACCAGCACGTGGAAGATCTCTCTCCCTCTCTGTTTCTCCCTCTCTTGCTGTAAGTCTGGCTTTCAAATAAATCAATAAATCTTTTTAAAAAAAGAAGGAAAGAAAATTCCTAGACAGTGGAGGCAGGATATAAACTTGTCTTTATAAGTGAAATCTGAAATATTTATGTTTCCTGAATGAAACAGTATTTCATTGCTTTAAAATTGTAAGCTTTGTTTGAAATGATACTATTTAGAAGAAAATGAAATAACCATTCATTTTCCTTTCTTAAGAATATAATACTAACTACAGAGGAAAAACTTGATATAAAGATGTCTATCACAATGTTCATTCAAAGGAACCAACCCCACACCTAGAAAGAGAACAAAAAGAGAAAGGAAACACTCTAGTATCCAAAAGCAAGAGAAAGTTTCAATACATTGTGATGCAGTCATTAAATGAAATATTTTAAAATTATTAATGATGATAAGTATAATAACATGGACATACATATTGTAATGTTAAATAAAATACAAACTGTTGTATAGACTATAATGGCAAGCATGTTAAATTAAAATGAACAACAATTCGGGACATGCTCAAGCTGACTTGCCTCAAACGGTAGAGTTAGAAACATACCAGGGGATTCCAATTCAATCCCAATCAAGGTGGCATGTACCAATGCCATCTCACTAGTCCCAGTGATCAATTTCTGTTCACAATTGATCTTAATGATAGGACCAAGAACCAAAGGGATCACATAAACAAGAATAGTGTCTGCAAATACTAGCTGATAGAATCAAAAAGGGAGAGAATGATCCAACATGGGAAGTGAGATACACAGCAGACCCATAGAATGGCAAATGTCCTAACGGCACTCTGGCCTCAGAATCAGCCCTTAAGGCATGCGGATCCAGCTGAAATGCCCGTGAGAGTATTTCAGGCATGGAAAGCCAAGACACTCTGGGGGAAAAAAAAAACCTAAATGAAAGATCTTCGCGAGTGAGATCCCAGTGGAAAGAACGGGTCATCAAAGAAGGAGGTACCTTTCTCTGAAGGGAGGAGAGAACTTCCACTTTGACCATGGCCTTGTCTAAATATGATCAGAGTCAGTGAACTCAGGGGGCTTCCATAGCCTTGGCAGCTCATGACAAGAGCCTAGGGTGATTACTGATGCCATAAACAAGAGTGTCAATTTGTTAAGTCAACAACAGGAGTCACTGTGCACTTACTCCTCATGTAGGATCTTTGTCCTTAGTGTGCTGTACATTGAGATTTAAGGCTATAACTAGTACTCAAACAGTATTTTTCACTTTATGCTTCTGTGTGGGAGCAAACTGTTGAAATCTTTACTTAATGTATGCTAAACTGATCTTCTGTATATAAAGAGAATCGAAAATGAATCTTGATGTGAATGGAAGGGGAGAGGGAGTGGGAAAGGGGAGGGTTGTGGGTGGGAGGGAGGTTATGGGGGGGAAGCCATTGTAATCTATAAGCTGTACTTTGGAAATTTATATTCATCAAATAAAAGTTAAAATTTTTTTTTTCTTGTAGAAGAAAGAATGAAAGGAACTTCACCAAACTCTTACTATATTCACTATAGGTAGTAGGATTATATATAGTTTTATATCTTCTTTCCTATTTTCTTTACTTTCTAATATGTCATGTTCATATTTTTTTAAATATTTGTTTATTTGAAAGTCAGAGTAACCCAGAGAAAGGGAGGCAGAGAGAGAAATCTTCCATCCACTGGTTCACTCTCCAATTGGCCGCAATGGCCGGAGTTGTGCTGATCCGAAGCCAGGAGCCAGGTGCTTCTTCCTGGTCTCCCATGTGGGTGCAGGGGCCCAAGGACTTGGGCTATCCTCCACTGCACTCCTGGGCCACAGCAGAGAGCTGGACTGGAAGAGGAGCAGCTGGGACTAGAACTGGCACCCATATGGAAAGCCAGCACTGCAGGTGGAAGATTAACCTACTGCGCCACAGTGGCGGCACCTCTCATGCTCATGTTTTATAATGGAAGCTAACAGAATGGATGAGATGACCCAGAAATGATACGTGGGACAAGGTCAGGGACAGCAGCAGATATCAGGGACCCCGTAGGTGGGAACATTCACATTTAGGGAGTTTTAAGGGGCAGAGTGCACATTAGACAGAAGGAAGGGCAGGAGAGAACCTGACACTATATTAGCCAACAAAGGGTGTTTCAAGTAAAATTTTAAGAAAAGGAAAGAGAAATGCTTTTGTGTATCAGTATTACCACAAATATAGTCTTTCAGGCTTTTAATATCTTTGTCAAACCAATGGTTAAGAATGATACACCAATAAATTAAACAAAAAAAGAATGATACACCACTATAGTTTTAATGATATGTGATTATTTTTAAACTTTTTGTATTTGACTGAAATAGCCCTTGCCTGTATTGCTGCTGAATTATGGTCTTTCCTTTCACTTGTTGAACTCTTTCTTTAGTGGAGCATTAAGCCTTTGAATATAATGTTAATTAGACATGTCATCTCAAAAATTATGAAAGGAAGGGAGGAAGAGAGGGAGGAAGGTGGGAAAAAGAAAAAGAAATAATATTATGATTATTATAACTATATATTAACTACATTGAATCTGTTCTCCTAATATTCATATCACGTTAACATGAAAATTGATGAGAATAACAAAAAGGCAAAAGGGTGTCTATCATTTTAAAGCTTTGAAAAATTAACTCATTCAGCAGCAGATATCAACTGTGTTCTACCATGTGCCAAGTTCCATGCTGGGTACTGGGCTCAAGCAGGATGATGACTGAAAATATTCACCAAGTAGGTTGTCTTTGGGATCACTGGGAAGACAGTTCTCGTGGAACAAGTCAGAATTCTCACTGGATTGAGCAAGAGCAGATGCCACTGATATAGGCTGTTCTGTCAAATTCACCAGAGAAGAGGAGGGAAGAGCCAGAGAGAGAGAGAGACAGAGACAGAGACAGAAAGAGTACAGATATTAAAGGGCTTGGCCAAATATTATAAATGCTACAGAGGCTGTGTGTGGGTGAACACGTGATCATTTTAAGCAGGAAAGTTGGTAAAGGCTATATGAAGAAATATTTTTCTTTCTTTAAATCAGCTGATTTAATATTTCGGGGTTTAAACCCCATATGAATCTATGCAAATCAGCGATGTCCCTGACAAGAAAAACATGTAAAAATGATGCATTTCTGATTTCCCTTACCTCTTCATTTAAAATAAGGCTTTAAAAGGTTTTTAGTAATAATACATTTGTAAACAGGCAAGGATTCTTTTCAGGGGCCAGCGCTGTGGCCTAGCAGGTGAAGCCACTGCCTGCGGTGCATGCATCCCATTTGAAGGCTGGTTTGCGACCTGGCTGCACCATTTCCGATCCAGCTCTCTGCTGTGGCCTGGGAGGGCAGTGGAAGATGGCCCAGGTGCTTGAGCCCCTGCACCTACGTGGGAAGAGAGGGAAGAAGCTCTTGGCTCCTGGCTTCAGATTGGCACAGCTCCGTCCTATGCAGCCGATTGGGGAGTGAACAAGCGGATGAAAGACTCTCTCTGTATAACTCTGACTTTCAAATAAATAAAATAAATCTTTTTTAAAAAAGGATTCTATTCAATAAAAATAAGAACATAGAAGGTTGAACAATGACTTCACTCTTCTCAGAAATTATACTGGTCTACAAAGTATGGGACTCCTTTGATATCTTCAGAATTTCCATTTCCAGCCTTCTTTAAAAACATGTAAATGAGAAAGTTAGAGGGGCAAATTATTAAGGATTCACAAACAAAAATTTAGTTATCTTTGTACCTAAAAGTTGAGGTGGTTCTCATTTCCCTAGGAATTATTCATTCATGTCCAATTTTTAAGATTTTTTTTAAGATTTCACTTCAGGTACACCTAGGATTTTTAAAAATAACTCATACAAGTGAATGTAGCCTTTCTATTAAAATGTGTTTGCCATGAGTGATGAGGATCAACGTTGCTCTTAAATAACTTGCACTTTGCATCTTCTTCATGACAACTTGATGAATAGATTGAGTATAAAATAGTGTAGCTTTTGATGGTGATCATATTTGCTTTTTATTTCAGTCCTTAAACCATCAGGAAATCTTCAGGCCATCAGGCAATGGACAATTATCTATTTATATCGAATAATTTACATGCCTAGGAAGAATTTGATTGTAACAGCTTAAGAAAGGGACGACATCATGAAAGAAGTAGGAAAGTGATGACCACCATTGTAATTTATTTTTACAGTTCTTCAGAGATGTTTCCCTGACTTCTCTACTAAGAATGGCACTTTAACAGTAGGAAGCAGAACACTGTTTGAAGATGGAAATGGGAAGACGAGAAATGTTATAGAACTCAGGGAGGCTGCAAAGTATGTTTGTTACTGTCCTGTTTTCACTTTATTTGCTTTCTGTTACTATACCCAATACTGTAGCTCCCACGAGGGTAACAGTTATAGGAAAAAATTATGTATTGATATGAAATATACATGTCTCTGTGGATTGGAGAGCTTGGAATGTGTTCATTAGGAAAAGCACATAAAGGAGAAACCAGAATGAATTAGAACAAGAAGGTTTTTCAAAGAGGTTAAATCTTTCATCATTAACAGGCATAGGAGTGTGAGATAAGAAAACATACTATACCATACCAAATTTCTATATAATGCAGTAAATTTGCTGTTTCCCTGGATATAGACACAGAGTGCTTCTCATTACTGGAAAGTATATTTCCTTGGCAGCACACATTCATACACATGTGCACAAACATATTCAGAGGATAACTGCATAGCTCGATGTTGAATTAACAATGAAACAATAAAGATATCCTGAGAATTTACTTCTGTTTCTTGAAATAATTCAGCAGTAAAGTGTAGTACCTACATGTTTAGAATACAGACAGCAACATGGATGCGTTTCAGAAACATAAAGCTGTGTTAAAGAAAGCACAAAAAACACTAATATGTATATATAAGTGGTAAAATTAACAAGAAAATTTAGAAAATTATTATCCCAATGCCAGGGTAGTGATTATGGCAAGAGGGAGTTGTTGTAACTGGGACACACAGGGAAGTGGCTGCCAATGTTGTGTTTATGTGAGTGTGTTCACATTGATAATTCATCAAATTGGACACTAATGATTTGTACACTTTTCAATATGTCCTCCTTCATGCCATGCTGCTACAGGGTTGCTGTCAGAGGATTAGGAAGGGGAATTAAAGATGATGTTCTTTTTTGACTCTACGGATTTTGTAAGTTCAAAGCTGATCTTATCATTTCAATTCAATTCTTAGAATGAAGTTTCTGCAATATGCCTACATTAGAAAAAAATCTGTTTATTTTTCTTGAGAGCCAGCCTCTCCATATCTGTAGCTATAGCTACCTTTGCAGGTTCACCCACCTTTGGAGGTTTGCTGAAGTTATGTTTCCTGCATTTCTGTGATTAGGGGAAAAGTCACAACTGATAGTTTCTAAAAACATTCATTCCACAGCAGCTTGCAAATCCCTTTTATTATAACAAGCCTATTTCTGTTTAATGGTAGTCAAAAATAATTTTTCTTTCTTTGAATTCAGCGGTATCAATAAAATCCTTGATGCAAGATCAGTTGGATTGAAAGTGTTTGAAGACTATGCAACAACTTGGCATTGGATTCTCATGTAAGTGAAAACACATAAGTGTTTCTTCTCCAGCCCCATTCAGATTTTATCTTTGTAGAATTATTTCTTCAAATTTCCTGCTATTTTTCATTGATAAAAGCTTAACTCACATCCTAGTTTCTGCCATTTTCTTTCTCTGGTTGGGTGAGGATGGGTCAATGATATTTGGAAATATGTCCAGATCTAGCAGAAAGTCACAAGAATATAAATTTCAATTTTATGAGTACTCTTAAAAGTAAATATTTCAAGTCTCATACAGCAATGTCTGTAGTACCTGTGTACTTCTCATTACATACTACAGTAGATACACTGCTATTCTCTAATTTTTTTTATGATTTGTTTTATTTGAAAGGTAGAAAGAGAGAGGGAAAAATCTTGCTTCCACTAGTTCACTCCCCAAGTGCCCACAACAACCAGAGCTGGGCTAGGTTGAAGCCAGGAACAAGGAACTCAATTCAGGTCTCTCATGTAGCTGGCAAGGGCCCAACTACTTGGGCCATCTCTTACTGATTTCTAAGTAAGATGCTTTAGCAGGAAGCAGGATCAAAAGTGGAGTAGCCTGGACTTGAGCCATGCTATGATTTAGGATGCTGGAATCACAAACAGCAGCTTAATCTGCTGCACCACAACACTAGCCTCTCTCTGGTTCTGTTTTCTCATTTGGCCTTCCATTCATCTCCAAAGGATCATTCCTATTTTTTAAGACATCTCTTCCATATAATGATTGTTATCATCATCATCAAAGATCATTGTAGTTATAAGCTTAAAAATTATAGAAGGAAGAAGAGAGTTAAACTTTTTAGACGTGTTTCACATCCCTGCAAAGTCAAGTGAATGTAGTCACTCTACTAAAGTAGATAGATGTGTTTTCCATAACTACAGTTGGTGTTATTATCAGGCTCTGTGTCACCTTCTAGTGCTTAAAAGCTTCTGTGGTTCCTTAATGATTAAAGAATGAATTCAAGGCCTTTTCAGATATTCCAAGGCCATTTCCAAATTTGATGAACTCACTTTCTCAGATTAATCTCCATCCTTGTTTCTTGATTAACCCTATATTCTAAACATATCAAATAACATGCCCACACCTAGACTGTCAGACCCCATGTTTTTGCACATTCTGTTCCCTTTCCTGGTGTATCCTTCCCTGTATCTTGGGCAACTCCTTCTCATCTTTAATGTCAGTTCTGGTATCATTTTACTCTTTTATTATCTTCCCCAGATATAATTACTCATACTCAGTGTGTATGTTGGGGGGAGGGGAGGAAGGGAGTAGTATATATATACACAGACACACTTACCTTTTCCACAGGACAGACCATTTTCTATTTAATTTTCTTGGCTCCTTCCCATTAATAAACTATGACCTCTTTATTACAGCTATGTTTAACTCATATTTATTTCCCTTACTTCTTGTATAGTGTTTAAAACATAGCAGATGTGGGGCTGGCATTGTGGCATAGCAGGTTAAGTCCCTGAGTGCCAGTTCAAGATCTGGCTGCTCGACTTCCAATCCAGCTCCCTACTAATGCACCTGGGAAAGCAGCAGAAAAATGGTCCAAGCCCTTGGACCCCTGTACCCAAGTGGGAGACCCAGAAGAAGTTCCCATTTCCTGGCTTTGGCCTGGGACAGACCCAGTCATTGTGGCCATTTGGCAGTGAGCCTGAAGATGGAAGCTTGCTCTCTTGCTCTCACTCTCTCTCCCCCCGTCTCTCCTATCTCTATAACTCTGCTTTTCAAATAAATAAAAACATATCTTTTAAAAAGAAATATGGCAGATGAATAAAAACTAGGGGTTTAAGGAACAGTCACAAAAACATTAGGGGAGAAAGTTACACAAAATATATTTAGCGATATCATTCTTAATAAAATCAAAATTGTGTGTGAAATACTACCAAGTAGCTTTTAGAGCTGTAAAACTACATAGTTTTATAAGATTTTATTCATTTACATACATACAATAATTACAAACATTCATTGTGTTAGGGTATATCTCCTAAACATAGATTATAGTCTATATTTGACAATAGTTAGTTTGTTTCCTTATTATCAAATCCAGCTGTCACTAGATCATTTCCATGTTTCTTCTTTTAATTAATTATTTATTTAAGAGGTAGAATTACAGACAGTGAGAGAAAGAGGGAGAGACAGAGAGAAAGGTCTTCCATCCACTGGTTGGTTCACTCCTCAAATGGCTCCAAATTCTGGAGCTGTGCCGATCTGAAACCAGGAGCCAGGAGCTTCTTCCAGTCTCCCATGTGGGAACAGGGGCCCAAGGACTTGGGCCATCATTCCCTGCTTTCCCAGGCCATAGCAGAGAGCTAGATGGGAAGAGAAGCAGCCAGGACTCAAACTGGTGCCCATAGGGGATGCCAGCACCACCGGCGGAGGATTAACCTACTGTGCCACAGCGCCAGCTCCCATGCTTCTTCTTTTGGCTTCTGTACTCTTGCCTAACACAAGTGTACATTAGGATAGATTCTCCTGCCCACCACACTCCCATTACATGCACTGAAACCCAGTACCACTCACACCACTAAAGCATCAACCCCTCCCTTTACATTCAACCCTTCTACTCTCATCTATGTTGCAAGTATACAAAGTACAGATGAGCCTTATTTAGTTAAAATTTTATGCAAGAATTTAAAGCATGTAGAATAAACAATTTTCTTTTTTCCTGTGATTTCTTTGAATATTCTCTTTGGACTATGCCACAGAATAATCTTTCAACCCCAGTGAAGATTTAATCATTAAAGTATTTGTCATTTTAAGAAGGAATGGCTTCTGAAGTTAAAAGGATATGGTGTGCAAGACTTTGACCTAAGAAGATACTTTGATACTGTGCTATCCTCTATCCAGTGACAGTAATTAAGATTTTCTTTTTAAAGATAACACATGAGACAATAAACTCAATAAATGTACCAGGCACTGTCTGTTACTATGTTTGGAAATCTGCAGATAGCACCAGAGATGTCAATGTTTAATAGAACAGTCAGCTAAGTTTCTAATCTTAATGAATTCTCTTTGAGGAAATTACATCAGAAAATTCCAATATGACCTTAACCTGAATATATTGGGAAAATAAGCTTTCCTAGAAGTTCAGTGAAACTCTAGGAGGAAATTGAAGCAGACAGAAAATAGTCATTCTATTGAGTGCTTGATAAAACCACACAGCCCAGGAGACACAGAAGCCTTACTGTGGCTCCAAATGGTAGCCCATAGATCATGGAGAACCAGGAAGAGATGTCTGGTGATATAAGGCATCCCAAACAATTTGAAATAGTTAGATCATAGTGAGAGTGAGTACAAAATCATGAGTTCAGGAGCTAAGTGGACAGTTTTTTTTTTCCCTTCTCTTCTGCTCCTTTCTTGCCTTTCTGCTCTTACTTTAGACAACAATATTGTATAAAGTTTTGTTTGTTTATCAAGAAGATAGAACAGTGCAAATTCATCATAGCTGTATTTTATATAAGGAAAAATAAGTAGGACATGGTAACTATGACAGGCTAAAATTATGGTTGGAAGAATTATATTTTTCCTTGAACAATGGTTGATAACAGACTTTGGTTTATTCAGGCATACAAAGATGACTCATGTATAAAATCCCGATGGCCCTACTCTTTAATAGGAAAGTCTTAATGAAAATAATTGCTTATGCTTTTTGTCCTTATAAATGTCCCTGTATCCAAGTAAAATAGTTTGAGAATCATTTTGCATAGGAAAAAAAGTGTCATCTTGATGTTTCTATGTTATGCTTAGCGTACCTGACTTCTGCATTTGTTGTGGGTTTTCCCCTCCAGTGGCCTGACTATCGCGATGGTGCTTAGCTGGATATTCTTGATACTCATGAGGTTTATAGCTGGATTCCTCTTCTGGTTCTTCATGTTTGGTGTGCTTGGAATTATAGGATATGGTAGGTATCACTCCTCTTAAAGTCGCAGAATGTTATAATCATCTTTTTTTTTTCCCGCTACTATTATTACCAAAAGTATTCACTTGCAATAAATTTAATTGTCTTCCCCCAAAATGCACTGAATTTAGAAAAATCATTCAATTTTGAACCTATTGTCTGTCTAGCTATTTTCTTCCTTATGCTGAAAAAAAGTGCTATCAGAATATCCTACTCTTTTTCCTGCCAGTTTTTGTTCTCATGCCTCATGAATATTAAGGAAGAGATAAAAAGATTCCCTTTAAGATTAGTGAAAAACATTTCAGACCACTTCTTTTATTTCTTCAACTTTTCTGACTGATCAAAAGCCAGATGTGCATTCTTACAGAAGCATGATTTAACTTTTGACTTTCGTAAATTTAGATAGAATTTTAATCCATATACTGTCACCCCCTAGAGGCAAGTATTTGGAAGTACATGCAATGGATGGAGTTTTATTTCAAGGTTGAAATCTAACCACTAACTTAATCTCTCCAAAACCAATACATGTCAGATACCACATATACAATAAATGAAGAAATTAAAATGTCTCCCATGTAACAGTACACCTTTATAGCAGCTTGCTTTCAGTCTTCTAAAAAATGCTTTGGGCCAAGATATAACTGTTTGACAGGCTTCTATTCCAAAGAAAATTTCACCTAAACATTTGAATTGATTACACAGTTTTAGGGTAGTACAAATCAGAAACACCAATCTCCTATTTCCATCATTCAGAAAAGAGCTTTATATACATTAGGATAAGAGTGCTTTTGAGGCTCCAGGTTCTGCAGTTAGGCAGGATTATAATCCAGCCTCATAACATACAACTGAGTGACTTTGGAAAAATTTAATTAATGATTATGACACTCAGTTTCCCTATATATCTATAACATCAGAACAATGGTGCACTGCATCTCAGAAGATTGTAAAGATGAAAATTAATACACATCTCTGAGAAGGGTCTCTGGACACAGTAAGCAGAATGTGTATTAGATTGTTATTATCCTCCTCATTACCTTCAGTGAGTATCAAGTAAATCACTCAGATCTCCTAGGGTAACCCTTACCTGACCCTGCTGTGTAGCTGCTAACCATTCCTCCCGAGCCCAGCCAGGTAACATATTAGAGGTGGGTCACAAGAATGATGGTCCCTTAGTCAGAGACTCCAATGAAAGGTTAAAAAAAAAACTAGTTTTACACAAAATTCATTTTGTTTAAAAATTAACAGCTTAGAATTCAAAATAACCCCTACCTGGCCAGCACTGCGGCTCACTAGGCTAATCCTCTGCCTGTGGCACCGGTACTCCGGGTTCTAGTTCCGGTTGGGGAGCCGGATTCTGTCCCGGTTGCTCCTCTTCCAGTCCAGCTCTCTGCTGTGGCCTGGGAAGGCAGTGGAGGATGGCCCAAGTGCTTGGGCCCTGCACCTGCATGGGAGACCAGGAGGAGGCACCTGGCTCATGGCTTCAGATCGGCACAGCGTGCTGGCTGTGGTAGCCATTTGGGAGGTGAACCAATGGAAGGAAGACCTTTCTCTCTGTCTCCCTCTCTCACTGTCTAACTCTGCCTGTCAACAACAACAACACCAAAAATAACCCCTACCCTTTGTCAGTAGACAGCCTGGGCTTGTCACTCAATCACTCTTTTATTCTTATCAAGAAGGAAAGGGTTAAGGGCCCATTGCTGTGGCAAAGCAAGTAACGCTACCACCTGTGGCACCAGCATCCTATATGGACATTGGCTCAAGTCCCAGCTTCTCCACATCTGTTCTAGCTCCCTACTAATGTGCCTGGGAAAGCAGCATAAGATGGCCCAAATGCTTGAACCCCTGCACCCATGTGGGAGACCTGGAAGAAGCTCCTGGCTCCTGGCTTCAGATCGGCCCTGCTTCAGCACTTGCAACCATTTTGGGAGCAAACTGATGGATAGAAGATATCTCTCTCTCTAATTCTGCCTTTAAATAAATAAATAAATAAATAAATTTTAAAAAATTAAAGAAGGAAAGGATAGTGAAGTCTGCTAATGCCTTTATTGATTTACCTTAAGCAATGAAAAAAAAATTCTGAAACTGGCTGTGGTACAACTTTTACAATGGAAAAAGGGAGAAAGATGGTCAATGTATAAAAAGTGCAAAATAAACAACCAATTTGGCTCTTATTGACTCCCCAGGTGGTGTTAAGCCAGCAATTAGTGGTGTTTATTGGATGCTATTTATTGGGTGAGGAAATGTCCCATTAGGTTGGGAAGTGCAGTGTAAGTAAATAAAACCGCATGTGACTTCCTTCTATTACATTCTTGGACAACTGCCTTCTACGCATTATGGGGAAACCAATCATGTTGTACTGACAGCAGCTCATTTACTAGGGCCAAGAAGTGACATAGTGAGCAAAGAAAAGACAATATTATTTGTGGGCAGGAGCCCATGTACAACCATGTATCAGTTTTCACTGATTAGAACATGTTAAGAGGTCCACAGGAAATGCTTATAATGTGGTGGTTATGAGCATGGATTTGGAGTATGAAAAGGACACAATCCTAGATTCATCACATATTGACTGGGTGATCCTCTAAAACGTACATAGTCTAATTCTTGGTTTCTTCAGCTATAGAATTGGAACTGTATTAAATCAAATAGTTTATATAAAGCATTAGAAATTTCCTAGTGTAAGGTAAATGTTCCACTATTTGTTATTGTAACTGTTCTTGTTGTTAGGCCATACTATTATTCAGGAAAAAGAGCATAAGTCCATTATCATAACTTAAAAAGAACAACAACAAAAAACTAGGAATAAGAGAGAAAAAGAAAAAGAAATTGAAACATACTGCCTACATTTTCACATCCATCAATATGAGGGAATTAAATAGCTGGAAGGGCCACTTAAAAAGAAATAACGGCATAAAGATTAATACTGTATTGTTTTATATAATATATTGTTTTTATTAGCTTATAGGAAATAAATAAAATAATCCAAAAGAAAGCAAAATTTAAGCCCATGGGGTAAAATCAAAGTGGGGAAATGAGCAGGAAGCACGTATGAAAGTCTGGGTGGCCCATGCCAGTGCTGGAGTCAGGAGACTCAGGTCTGAATAAACACTAAAGCAGGGAATCAAACCTGCAACCCCCGGACTAAGTCTGGATTCCTGAAAATGTCTAAAATGACCCTTGCTTGGTAGTACCAATTGGCCTCCAGCAGAAACAAATGTAAGTTTTCACTAGATGAAGCACTTCTCAATCTATATTAACAGGTTTCCACAGATTAAAATCAACAAAGAGAGATTACCAAACATACAAGAAAACTGCCATATGTGAAAATCAATAGAAACTATAAACATCAGACGGAAGTGTCCAGTAGAGTCAGATATGGGAATTCATAAATATAGAACATGAAGTAGCACTATATAAAATGTTTAAAGAATTAAAGATAGAAGATGAACCAAATAGAACGTTTCAAACTAAACAATTGGTAGATTAAAATTAAATTAATAAACTAAGTGGCAAAATAGAAATGTAATGAACTGAAATATGACTCTGAAATAATTACTCAAAATAAGGCAGAATGTGACAAGTGAACAAAAATATGATTATGTAGTTCAGAATGAGAACAGGTTGAGTAAGGCCTGATATATATTAGTCATATAGTCAGATTTGTTGTTGACTAACGATGGATCTTGGTATAAACAAGGAGAGTGAAGGAATGGAAATTAATGTGTATTCATGCATTTGTTTATTCTTTCAACAAATATTAATCAACTATTGCATAGAGACACTATTCTAGACTCTTGACATATAACAGTAAACAAACAGGACAGGCAAAGGTTTTTACTTTTAGATGCTTATGGCCTAAGTAAGTTATATACTAAAAAACAATGATTATCATGGAAAAAAGAAAAAGCAGAGCAGATAAAGGAGACTGAGAGTACCGTGCTAGAGAGAGAAGCAAAAAAAATGCAGCATTATTAATCTTAATGCAAAGAGATCTGAGAAAACACTTGAAGGAAGCAATGGTTACTCAGTCAGCAGATGATGGAAAATTTTCAGAAAGTAGTAACACCTAAAGCAAAGATTTTAAGGAAGCTGTCCAAATGGGTGCACTGAGTATAAGAGAGAATAGTATATGAGATCATAAAGCTGGTGGAGGGTCAGAGCCTTACAGATTGCTGTAAGACCTTGCCTTTTACTCTGAGGGAATTGGGGAGGCATTGTCTGGTTTTGAGCACAGAAGAAATGTGATGTGATGATTGTTCTAGTGTCTGTGTTGAGAACAGACTGTAGTAAGGCAAGATCAGAAGCCATGAGGCCAGTGAAGAGGATATTGCAGTAATCCATATGCTAAAAAAGGAAAGTTCATATCAAGAAGGGTTTTTACCAGCTGTATTTGCTGATGAATTGAATGCATCTGTGAAAGAGAGAGGAAAAATGATTCCACAGAAAAATATGAGATACAAGAGAGGATAGTAAGCAAAGAAAATGAAATGATAAACATGTAGGTAAAGCTAAGCAAACTTTGCCTGTATAAAATAATAATGTCCAAATTTAGGTGGAAATATACATAACTAAAATCCAGAGTAGGGTGATTATTGAGTGACCCAAGGTCCTTATATTTCTTTCTTAAGATACTCATTTTAAACTTGATTATTAAGAATATACAGTGAATTTTGGCCGGCACCGTGGCTCAATAGGCTAATCCTCTGCCTTGCGGCACCGGCACACCAGGTTCTAGTCCCGGTCGGGGCACCAGATTCTGTCCCGGTTGCCCCTCTTCCAGGCCAGCTCTCTGCTGTGGCCAGGGAGTGCAGTGGAGGATGACCCAAGTGCTTGGGCCCTGCACCCCATGGGAGACCAGGAGAAGTACCTGGCTCCTGCCATTGGATCAGCACGGTGCGCCTGCTGCAGCGCGCCGGTCGTGGCGACCATTGGAGGGTGAACCAACAGCAAAGGAAGACCTTTCTCTCTGTCTCTCTCTCTCACTGTCCACTCTGCCTGTCAAA